GTTTTATATTATTCCACTAAATTGTAATTAATGCCCTATGTACCGTTTGAAGAAATTTTTTGTAAAATCATTTGTATTTTATATAGCTCATTCGACAGAAGATGACTTAAATAAAAGTCGAAACGTTTCGAGACACATATACAGTCTTCATTATTGCACCTAAGTTCCTGCATTTGGTTCACAGAAGCCCATCACTCAACACAATTGAATTTTATAATACGAACCCGAGGAAGTCCTCAATACTCTCGCAATGGTTAATTTTTATTTTTATAGTTTCTGTAACACTGCAACAAACAGAAATATTACAGAAATCATATCAGTCAAGTGAAGCTGTGAGTCTTACTGAATCAATAAATGGTACTTATATAAAAGTTTCATATTTGTTGTGTTTTCAATAATTAACACATTACATGTTGTTTTCAATTTGTTAACAATATTTTTCTGTATTATTTTTGAACTTCAGAATCATCAATAAAAAAGAATAAAAACACTCGATCAGCAAATGAATCACCTGATATTGCAAAACGTCCTAGATTGAGCTTTCATTCACATATTTCTGACACTTCTTTTTCAAACGATGTAGTTGCTCATGGTAAATAAAACTATTAATTTTTAATATTAATTTTAATTTATACATTTAGATTTATGCATTTCAATTTTAAACCCAAAGAGAACAGAAATGTCAAAATAATGTCAATTTGATGTCATATTGACCAAATTTTCATCATTTTTTGGTCTTAATAAAAATCTCGATTTCAAATGACTTAAAAATGACTTTTTAGTGACTTTTTTTATTGTGCCGTTTTTGACTTTTGAAAATTTCAATAATATTTAAAAAAAAAAAGAATTAATTTTTTGAAAGTATATTTTATATACTATTTAAGATGGCTGTTGTGTAAAAAAGTTTTATAAAACAATTATTTATTTATCTACGTAAATAATAATTTTAAAAAATAATTACTTGCAAAAAATGTATTAGATAAATGTATTTAGATAAGTTTATTATACATCTTTAATATAAAACATTATAATTTTGTTAATTTTAGTTCTAAAGGCACATCATATTTTTTTACTTATTTTTGTATTATTTATTTTTTTAATACAATTACATGTGCAATGAAATTTAATACTAATGTTTTATTATTAACAATAATAATAATTTAGTTTAATGTAAAATGTACTTTATTTTTCAAACTGTATTTACCGCTTAACGCGTAACGCCTAACCAATCAGAGAGATTACGTATTTAATATGAAACATATATATTAAACACGTAATCTCTTTAATTGGTTACGTGTTACGCGTTACGCGATGAATAACAGTAGGATCGCACCCTTATATATAATTACATATGTATAG